TCTAGCCACGTACAGGACCCCAAAATCCAATAAGGACCTGTCATGTGTCCCAGAAGACACCAGACCATTCACAAAGTGCAGCGCTTCTCGCGCATGTGCAGTGGGCACCCGGCTGTGTCAGATGCCGGGGCGGGAAGAAGCCAGCGCAGGAAGACTAGAGCGCTGGACCGAGGAACAGGTGAGTTCCTGCCGCAGAGAACCGCTGAGCGGCCGACCCAGTATTCTGACATGATGGTGGCAGAAATACCAGACCGGCCGCTTTATAGTCGCTCCATAAGGCGCACTGACATTTCCCCCCCTTTTTTGGGGGGAGAAAAGTGCGTCTTATGGAGCGAAAAATACGGTAATTTAAATTTACATTTGTCATTTTCCAGAAACTTGTGGAACAAAAAAAAAATTTTCCATGGACTCAATATGCCTCTCAGCAGATAGCTTAGGTTGTCTACTTTCCGAAAAGGGGTCATTTGGGGGTGTTTGTACTATCCTGGTATTTTAGCACCTCAAGAAATGTGATAAGCAGTCAGAAAGTAAAAGCTGTGTAAATTCCATTATCTATACCGGGTGTCGGCAACCCGCGGCTCCAGAGCCGCATGCGGCTCTTTTTCACCTTTGCTGCGGCTCCGGAGCATACTGCCCACCAGGTGACAGGCAATAGGGTTGCCGTAGCTCAGTGGTCGGCAAGCCGCGGCTCTTTACACATTTTAATGCGGCTCTTCTGTGTGCCGGGCGCCCGCTACCCTCCCTCCTCTCGGGCGGCCGCCCCAAAAAATCAGGACTGCAGCTAGCCCAGCAATGGGCAAACTATGGCCCGGCGGACCTTTTAATCCGGCTCGCGGAGCGTGGCAAACATTGGCTGTCAGGATGTAGGCGGGGCAGCGTGACGAACTCCTCTCCTCTCACAGTCCGCCCTGAAGACCGAAACGGCGCGGGAACACGGCGAGAGGAACGCGCGGAGCAAAGGTAAGTGAATTGACACAATATGGGGAATGAATTACTATAGGGGGGATGAATTACTATAGGGGGGATGAATTACTATATGGGGGATGAATTACTATATGGGGGATGAATTACTATGGGGGATGAATTACTATATGGGGGATGAATTACTATGGGGGATGAATTACTATGGGGGATGAATTACTATATGGGGGGATTAATTACTATATGGGGGGATGAATTACTATGTGGGGGATGAATTACTATATGGGGGATGAATTACTATATGGGGGATGAATTACTATGGGGGATGAATTACTATATGGGGGATGAATTACTATGGGGGATGAATTACTATATGGGGGATGAATTACTATATGGGGGATGAATTACTATGGGGGATGAATTACTATATGGGGGATTAATTACTATGGGGGGTGAATTACTATATGGGGGGATTAATTACTATATGGGGGATGAATTACTATGTGGGGGATGAATTACTATATGGGGGATGAATTACTATATGGGGGATGAATTACTATGGGGGATGAATTACTATATGGGGGATGAATTACTATGGGGGATGAATTACTATATGGGGGATGATGGGGGATGAATTACTATATGGGGGATGTATTTTCAGTTTTAAAAATGTGGCTCTCAAAATAAATTTCAATCGTGGTTTTGGCGAGATTTGGCTCAGTTGAAAAAAAAGTTTGCCCACCACTGACCTAAGGCTATGATTGTGATTATGACGATACAGTGTGGCCCTGATTAACCCTTTGCTTACTGGGCCCTTCAACCCCCTTCATGACCAGAGCGCTTTTTGCAATATATGCAGTGTCGGATTTGTTTTAAATGTTGCAATGGTTTTGCGGCTCCCAGTCTTTTTTTCCCTCTCGGAAACGGGTCCAAGTGGCTCTTTATGTCTTAAAGGTTGCAGACCCCTAATCTATACCATAGTTTGTAGATGCTCACACAAAGCCATCAATATACACTTTTTGGGATTTTTTTTAACCAAAAACATGTAGCAGAATACATTTTGGCCTAAATTTATGATGTAATTTTTGTTTTTTGCCACCAAAAGAAAGCTCTATTTGTGTGAAAAAAGGTTATAAATTTAATTTATGTACCATATTGCATGACCGCACAATTGTCAGTTAAACTAGTGCAGTGCTGTATAGCAAAAAAAAACGGCGTAAATTGCGATATCTATACCATAGTTTGTAGACACTATAACGTTCACACAAAGCAATCAATATACACTTATTGGGATTTTTTTTTTTAACCAAAAACATGTAGCAGAATACATTTTGGACTAAATTTATAACTAACTTTGAGTTTACTATATATTTTTTATAGCCGAAAGTAAAAAATATTATTTTTCTTCAAAATGTTCGGTATTTTTTTGTTTATTGCACGAAAAATAAAAAGCGCACAGGTGATCAAATATCACCAAAAGAAAGCTCTATTTCTGTGACTTAAATTTCGTTTGGGTACAGCATTGTATGACTGCGCAATTATCAGTTGAATTACTGCAGTGCCGAGTAGCAAAAAGAGGCCTGGTTATTAAGGGGGGTAAATCTTCAGGAGGGCAAGTGGTTAATATAAAAACGATGCCCAAAATGCACTCACATTCTCAGAATAAAAAACAAGTCTTTTAAGTAATAAAACCTCCTTACGCAGACAAAAGATCCGGTCTGGTGCTTCACAAGTATTACTGTACAATCACAGCAGCATAGAAAGAAATTAACAGGCAGCAGTATGGAGATGAGATATCCTCCCCACTCAAAAGATGGGCACGGAACGCTGCACCAGCGTGCGTTCCACTCACCAAATGTGACGTCACGAGTCATACGTCGGAACCGGAAATTGCATCAACGTGTTTCATCCTCTTCCAAGGTGTAGTCACAGACCAAGATTTCCGGTTCATAATCCTAGATATACTTCCTAATCCTAGACATCCTAGATATTCCGAGGAGGGCATGACCAGATGGACCACTATTCCCTTGTGACATAGGTGGAGGCTCAACCAAAGTGGGGGGGGGGAGTCATGAAGTTTATTCTGAACGGACTCATCCATTACTACATTTTCAGAGCTCTCAGACTGGTCATTACCCCAATCAGACATACCAGCATCAGTATTAATGACATCAGAAACACCCACATCAACATTAGTGATATCAGCACTGGCCATCACATCACCACTAGCAGCACCAGACATCCACATCATTATCAGTTACCACAGAGTTACTCCCAGTCCCCCAGCATGGCTCTCCCCATGAGAAATGGCGATAGCAGCACTATTCACATGATGAATATGCTGGGAGTCCACCATTTCACTCCTCCGAGTCTCCAGTAGTGTAAATGTCTGCTGGGTGGAATTGATGTTTCCACTATCCTCCAGAGCTGGATGTCCAGCAGATAAATCATCTCCAACCTGGTGATGCTCCACACTGTCCCCCAGAGTCTTTCCTTCAGGAGACACATTTGGTGGCAGCATGTGTTGGACCAGTTCCCCAGAGTCTGACTCTGAAGTCAGACTCAGTCCTACTCATACTGATCACAATTCCAGTATACCTTCCCCACTGGTCCCAGTTCTTCCAGAACAGCATCATATCTTTTGATACACCAGCCAGTTCAATGCACAGGGAGTTTAGTTTGTTATCATATAAGATTTCCTTCTTGGGGCTGGCAGCCTTGAGTCTATAGACAGAGTCAATCTGTTTCTGGATCTTCGCATTGGTCTTTCTCAGGGTCTCCATTTTCTTTACCAGGGAAGGAATCCTATCAGCTAGGTGCATCACAGGTGACAGGTTTAACCCTTTCTGCTTCATGTCTGTAAAGCGTTTGAAATCCTGACTCATTGTCCCATCAGCAGTACTGGGCTGAGGGTCTCTGCTGAGTGCAGATTGTGGAGAGTTATTGCCACCATCACCTTTATTCTGCTGGAGTTTAGAGCATGATGAATGTTCCTGGTTGCTGCCCACTGTCTGCACCGGATGGTTGCAGTACGGTTCCAGAATTGGTGTATGCATGACTTTGGTGCAATGCAGTGTGACTTGAGCCATTCAAAATGAATGGGCTAAAATCGCACCGCACTAAATTGCACAAGAATTGAACAAGAATGTGGTGCAGTTCCTGTGCGATTCATATGTGTTTCATAGTGTGAACCCAAGACTAAACCCAACTTTATTGGTTGAACTAGATGGACTAGTTTTTTTCATCCTGATTATTATACAGGAGCGATTCATTTCATTACCAAGCCATTTATTATCACATAATTGCTTGGCTCCCTTTTAAATCATAATGATAACAGATATCACCCAAATGGTCCTAATTAGAGATGAGCGAATCGAACTTGGCGAAGTGGAATTCGTTTCGAATATTAGGAAAAAATTCGATTCGCGCCGAATCCGAAAATTAGCAGACTTCGGATGCGCGAATCGAAATTTTTCCAAAAATGGCGGCGACATGTGTGGCGACGGAGCGGGGATCTCTGGGAAGGCGCGCAGACAAGGCGCGCTGACCCATAATGCATTCATTCATGACATGTGATCGCATTAGCCAATCAGCAGCCAGCCAGCACTGTGTAATGGTGGAGCTATAAATTGCGGCCATCTTACAATTCTCCATTTGCCTCCGGTCATTCAAGAGAGACAGACCTCTCTGTATTAGGGACAGAGTTAGGGACCAACAGATACTTTAGGGACACAGAATTCGTTACTCAGGAACACAGAATTGTTACTCAGGGACACAGAACTGTTACTCAGGGACACAGAATTGTTACTCAGGGACAGACACAGAATTGTTACTCAGGGACACAGAATTGTTACTGAGGGACACAGAATTGTTACTGAGGACACAGAATTGTTACTCAGGGACACAGAACTGTTATTCAGGGACACAGAACTGTTACTCAGGGACACAGAACTGTTACTCAGGGACAGACACAGAATTGTTACTCAGGGACACAGAATTGTTACTGAGGGACACAGAATTGTTACTCAGGGACACAGAATTGTTACTCAGGACACAGAACTGTTACTCAGGGACACAGAACTGTTACTCAGGGACACAGAACTGTTACTCAGGGACACAGAATTGTTACTCAGGGACAGAGAATTGTTACTCAGGGACACAGAATTGTTACAGGAGGACACAGAATTGTTACTCAGGGACACAGAATTGTTACTCAGGGACACAGAATTGTTACTCAGGGACACAGAACTGTTACTCAGGGACACAGAACTGTTACTCAGGGACAGACACAGAATTGTTACTGAGGGACACAGAATTGTTACTCAGGGACACAGAATTGTTACTCAGGGACAGACACAGAATTGTTTACTGAGGGACACAGAACTGTTACTCAGGGACACAGAACTGTTACTCAGGACAGATACAGAATTGTTACTGAGGGGACACAGAATTGTTACTGAGGGACACAGAATTGTTTACTGAGGGACAGACACAGAATTGTTACTCAGGGACAGACACAGAATTGTACTGAGGGACACAGAATTGTTACTCAGGGACACAGAATTGTTACTCAGGGACACAGAACTTTACTCAGGGACACAGAACTGTTACTCAGGGACACAGAATTGTTTACTCAGGGACAGACACAGAATTGTTACTGAGGGACACAGAATTGTTACTGAGGGACACAGAATTGTTACTCAGGGACAGACACAGAATTGTTACTGAGGGGACACAGAATTGTTACTGAGGGACAATAGAATTGTTACTGAGGGACACAGAATTGTTACTGAGGGACACAGAATCGTTACTCAGGGAACACAGAATCGTTACTCAGGGACACAGTGATCGTTGAATTAAAGTGTATGTCAGGACAGCACGCAGAGGAGTGGGCAGAGGAGGCAATGTTTCAGGATGCGAGCAGACGTGGCAGCAGAGGAAGGGTGTCGATCCAGCAGCACTAGTTCGCAGCCAGAGGCCAGTGCTCCCGGTGTCATCCAGCGGTCGTGTTCTCCACCGACCAATCCTGCCGTCATCGATTGGTTGGCTCGGTCGTCTTTCCTCTTCCCAGGTCACTTTCTGACACCTACAGCCATACGGTCGGTGGGTACGTCAGACACAACCGTTAGTTGGCATGGCCCGGGAGCAAGCCCACTGAAATCACGTGTCCTCTACCTGCCCCTGTCCTTTGGTGTTCCCTCACCAAGCGAAGTATCGCATGCTGTGGGCTCAGCCCCACTGTACAGTGAGGAAGAGCTAACAGAGGGCGGTCAGGAACGGGGGGAGACATCCGCCTCTTCAGCAGCAGGCGAAGAAGTAGTGGCGAGGAGAGTGCTCGGTAGCCGGTCTAGAGACAGGTCTGTCTCCTGACCCACACGCAGCCGAGGGGGCTAGTAGTGAGGCGGAGACCCTAATTGATGATGATGAGGCTGATCGCACTTGGCAGCCTCGTCGTCATCAGGTATTGCTTCCGCAATCATCAGGAGAAGAGGGTGCCAGCTTGGCAGCGAGCAAAACAGTCGGTGGGTTGCCCAGGAGGCAGCAGGGTCGCAGCAGTGTCAGTGGAGGCAAACGGCCACGGAGTAGAGCCCAGCTCCACTGCTGGTTGGGTTCCATTTTGTCATAGGGTGCTGGCCTGATGCCTCCCATTTGATGCTGCAGATTACGGGCCTCCGGACTTGCTGCTGCCAGGCCCGTAATCTGGCCATGGGCCCCCCGTACCGACTCCTGCTGCAGGTCCAGAGTGTGTCATGCTGCTGCCTAGGCCCGTAATCTGTCATGGGCCCCTGTACCCGCCTCCTCCTCACACTGCTGCTGGGTTCCATTTTGTCCATAGAGCTGGCAGGATTACGGGCCTCATGGGTCCCTAGTCTGAATGGGCCTCCGGCCTCCTTCATGCTGGATGCTTGTCTGGGGTCCCTGTCCATCGCCTGCACTCCATCGCCACACTGTGCCATTGTGCCACTTCAGGTCTCCTCACACTGCTGGTGGGTTTTCCATTTTGTCATAGGGTGCTGGCAGATTACGGGCCTCCCATTGCTGCTGCCAGGCCCGTAATCTGCCATGGGCCCCTGTACCGCCTCCTCATGCTGCTGCCAGGTCCAGAGTGTCTCATGGGTCCCTGTACGGGCCTCCCATTGCTGCTGTCGTCCATCGCCACACTCTGCCATGTGCCACTTTCAGGTCTCCTCACACTGCTGGTGGGTTCCATTTTGTCATAGGGTGCTGGCAGATTACGGGCCTCCCATTGCTGCTTGCCCGGCCCGTAATCTGCCATGGGCCCCTGTACCGCCTCCTCATGCTGCTGCCAGGTCCAGAGTGTCTCATGGGTCCCTGTACGGCCCTTCCATTGCTGCTGTCTCCATCGCCACACTCTAGCCATGTGCCACTATTTCAGGTCTCCTCACACTGCTGGTGGGTTCCATTTTGGTCATAGGGTGCTGGCAGATTACGGGCCTCCCATTGCTGCTTAGCCCGTAATCTGCCATGGCCCGCTAATCTGCCATGGGCCCTCCGTCCCTGACTCCTCATTGCTGCTGTCCAGGCCCGTAATCTGTCATGGGCCCCTGTACCATAGCCTCCTCATTGCTGCTGCTGCCAGGTCCAGAGTGTCCTCATGGGCCATCCCGTACGGGCCTTCCATTGCAGTGCTGCTGTCTCCCCTGTACGGCCCTTCCATTGATCGCCCACACTCTGCCATGTGCCACTTTTCAGGTCTCCTCACACTGCTGGTGGGTTCCGCATTTTGTCATAGGGTGCTGGCAGATTACGGCCTCCCATTGCTGCTGCCAGGCCCGTAATCTGCCATGGGCCCCTGTACCGCCTCCTCATGCTGCTGCCAGGTCCAGAGTGTCTCAATGGGTCCCTGTACGGCCTCCCATTGCTGCTGTCTCCATCGCCACACTCTGCCATGTCCCACCTTTCAGGTCTCCTCCTCACACTGCTGGTGGGTTTCATTTTGTCATAGGGTGCTGGCAGATTACGGGCCTCCCATTGCTGCTGCCAGGCCCGTAATCTGCCATGGGCCCCCGTACTAACTCCTCATACTGCTGCTGCCAGGCCCGTAATCTGTCATGGGCCCCTTTACCGCCTCCTCCATGCTGCTGCCAGGTCCAGAGTGTCTCATGGGTCCCTGTACGGCCTCCCATTGCTGCTGTCCTCCATCGCCACACTCTGCCATGTGCCACTTTCAGGTCTCCTCACACTGCTGGTGGGTTCCATTTTGTCATAGGGTGCTGGCAGATTACGGGCCTCCCATTGCTGCTGCCAGGCCCGTAATCTGCCATGGGCCCCCGTACCGACTCCTCATGCTGCTGCCAGGCCCGTAATCTGTCATGGGCCCCTGTACCGCCTCCTCATGCTGCTGCCAGGTCCAGAGTGTGTCATGGGTCCCTGTACGGCCTCCCATTGCTGCCGTCTCCATCGCCACACTCTGCCATGTGCCACTTTCAGGTCTCCTCACACTGCTGGTGGGTTCCATTTTGTCATAGGGTGCTGGCAGATTACGGGCCTCCCATTGCTGCTGCCAGGCCCGTAATCTGCCATGGGCCCCCGTACCGACTCCTCATGCTGCTGCCAGGCCCATAATCTGTCATGGGCCCCTGTACCCGCCTCCTCATGCTGCTGCCAGGTCCCGAGTGTCTCATGGGTCCCTGTACGGCCTCCCATTGCTGCTGTCTCCATCGCCACACTCTGCCATGTGCCACTTTCAGGTCTCCTCACACTGCTGGTGGGTTCCATTTTGTCATAGGGTGCTGTATGGCCTCCCATTGCTGCTGCCTCCACCGCCACACTGTGGCTCCACACTCTGGTTTTGGCCCCGTGACTGCCCAAATGAGTGAAGTGTGCGGTGATTCTAAGATCGACGGCACTCATCTGCATGTCATACTGACTGACAGTATTATTTCTCTTCCCCAGCAGACTCCAAGGGCATTTAAATTAAAGGTACAGTGTTCTGCACTAATATAAAGGCTCTCTGAAGCCTAGAAACACCCTTTTTATAAGTTAAATTCGCAGCGAATATATTCGCATCGAATCGAATTTATTCCTCAAATTCGCCGAAATCGAATTTTTGAATACTTCGCTCATCTCTAGTCCTAATCAAAAGTTTACATACCCTGGAATGTTTAGCCTTGGTACAGACACACACAGATTAAAATGGCAATTAAAGGTTTCATTTTCCACATCTCTGGCTTTTTTAAATTGCATGGTCTGTGTATTATTATACAGTATTTATATAGCGCCAAAAAGTTTGCTCAGCGCTGTACATTAGAGTGGGAGACAGTACATGAGACGCTGAGCAGGCTAGATACTGAGCCATGGCGATCAGAAAAGAACTGTTGAAAGACCTGCGTGACAAGTTAACGGAACTTTATAAAGATAGAAAAGGATATAAAAAGATGTCTAAAGCCATGAATATGCCAGTCAATATTGTTCAATCACCTATTAACCACTTGAGCTCCAGAGGATTTACCCCCTTAATGACCATGCCTTTTTACTACTCGGCGCTGTAGTAATTCAACTGATAATTGCGCGGTCATGCAATGCTGCACCCAAACGAAATTTACGTCCTTTTTTTCACACAAATAGAGCTTTCTTTCGGTGGTATTTGTTCATCTGTGCACTTTTTATTTTTCACGCTATAAACATAAAAATGCCAAAAATTTTGAAGAAAAACAATATTTTTTACTTTCAGCTATAAAAAATATATAGTAAACTCAAAGTTGGTTATACATTTAGGCCAAAATGTATTCTGCTACATGTTTTTGGTAAAAAAAATCCCAATGAGTGTATATTGATTGCTTTGTGTGGAAGTTATAGCGTTTACAAACTATGGTATAAATACTGCAACTTACGCCATTTTTCTGCTATACAGCACTGCGCTAGTTTAACGGACAATTGCGCGGTCATGCAATACGATACATAAATGAAATCTGTAACCTTTTTTCACACAAATAGAGCTTTCTTTTGGTGGTAATTGATTGCCTGTGCGTTTTTTATTTTTTGTGCTATAAAAAAAAAGGCTGACAATTTTGAGGAAAAAAAAACAATATTTTGGACTTTTTGCTATAAAACATGTCCAGTAGAAAAAAATTTAAAAATCAAATTTAGTCATAAATTTCTGCCAAAATGCATTCTGCGACATGTCTTTGCTACAAAAAAACCCCAATACTTGTAAATTAATTGGTTTACGTGAAAGTTATAGCGATTACAAATGGCGGGAAAGATACTGGGATTTTTAATTTTTTTTTTATACTAATAATGGCGGCGATCAGCGACTTGTGGCGGCGATCAGTGACTTATGGCGGCGATCAGCGACTTATGGCGGGACTGCGGCGGACATTCTGACACTGGGGGGAACTGACTTGGGGTCAATGACATCCCCAGTGACACCAATACAGTGATCAGTGCAAAAAAAAAAAAAAACTGACTGTACTAATGGCACTGGGGAGGAAGGGGTTAACTTTATTATTCAGTGAAAGGGTTAACTGTGTGAGGGGAGTGTTTTACTAGGGGACGGGGGTGTGTACTGCAGGGAACACCACTGATCGGGAGAGATAAACTCTTCTCTCCCGATCAGCCTGTCAGGAGCTGTCAGGGAACCAACAGAAAGCACAGCTACTGCAGCTGTGCTCTCTGTCACTGATTGCCACTAATTGCCGGGACATAGCGGTAACGACTGGCTGTGACACGGCGACTGACATCCGCGGCCGTGATAGGCGGGACAGGTAGAGCGGCGGCGCGCCCCCTACCTGTTTTGAAAACACATTTTAAAACATGGTTTTGCCCAGCCGTGCCGTCCTGCCACCGTATTGCTACAGTGGCTGGGCGGCATGTGGTTAAAGACCTGCCAAAAGCAATGAAAGAGGAAGGTTAGGACAGATATACACGTTAAATCTATGAGACTTCCATCTTCCTAACTTCTTTCTTATGGCATTGTCTAGGCCCCATTGATTCCAAAAGAGTGGAAGGATGATTAAGATGATGATTAAGACCTATTTCTTAATCATCTACATTTAAATAGAACCTAGTTCTGTTTAAATGTAGACGTTTAAATAGGACAGAATTAACCTGGGATTTTGTAAGACGGGACTTACGCATCTGAATGGGAACATTTTCTAGACAACTAGGTCTGAGAGATAATACATTTCTGACCAACAGAATAGGGCATATCAAAAAATTATTGCAGGCATTTGACAAATTGATCAGTTTCTGATTTTTGCATGAATAAACAAATACCTGCATCAGGAAGAACAACTTTGTTAAACGTAGCACCTGAATCACTTTTACTTTTATTTTTCGTAAAAGAAAGCTAATATGAAAGTAGAATTAAAAAGCAAAGATTTATATGATGCAAACCATTGGATTGATTGAACAAATTCCTTTTAAATTATTAATTGAAATAGGCCTTTTATTATCAGGTAAGATATTAGCTTTATTATAACCCTTGAGAGCCTGCTTGATGGCAAAAAAACTGTTACAATTTGGAAGATGTCTAAGCTTCAGGAAGAAAGAAACTCCTGCAAAAGTCACCATATCAAAATTGATGTTGCATTAAAAACACAACAAAGCCAAAACAGTTTGTTCAGATAGGTTATCAACATAAAAAATTTTTATCAAAAGAAATCAATTTTTTCCATGTAACTGAATATTCGGTTTACTATGTATTTGAGGCAATGCATTTTTAATTGCATTATATACAATTTTAAAATCAATTTCCACAGATGGACCGGGCTCTGAATTGGATAAACACTTCCTGAAACAGTCTAAATAAAAATTGGATAAAGAATGCAATATTATTAAATTTACCAGTGATGTATTCAGCTTTTATCCACTTGTTGTCAATTGACTTACGGGTACGTTGCTTGACTTCAAGTGGTTATACTGGGGTGATGCCTGCAGCTGCTCTCTCTCTCTGCTTCTCGAATATACCCCAGCACAATTTCACCTCCATCACCCCTCCCCCCCTCTCCAGGAATCTATATCGTAAATCGCTGGCGATGCATATTATAAATGCTGCCAGACTTTGTATCCCGGTTCTATGGAAATCTCATATAGTCCCATCGGTGTGGGACTGGCATACCCGCATAGGAAGAATTGCGGATATGGAAGAACTAATCGCGACAGCTCAAGATGCCCCCTCTAAATTCTCTCATGTCTGGTCCTACTGGACCTACTTTCAAACCACTTCAGAATAGAAAAGCCTCATGGGTACCCTGCAAGCGACCCCAGGTTGAATGTCAAATGGATGCATCCACCAACTACTTTTGTGTCTCTCCCTCTTCATGCTTCAACATGTCTTGTGCACCGCTATAGGCGTTGTGTTGCATCAAGATTTGTTTGGTATTGATCCTGTTCAGACATTCCAGAATAAAAGCCCATATACTCTTTAAAATCCAGAACGTCAACATTACATATTATCCCCCTTGCCCTCTCTACACATAACCCCCTTCCCTCCAGCTATCCCCTCCCCCTTTTTTTTTTCTTCTCTTTCTTATCCCTCCTCTACTCTGCTGTCCCCTACATCTTTCCCTCACCTTACACTTCGACTATACCTCCATATTTCCCACCTTCTCTACACACACCTCATTTACTTGACCCTACCTTTTCTCTCTGACTCTCCACTTATTTATATGATAATTTCTGCCTGTCCTCCTTTTGATCACAACCTTCCTCTTGCCCCACAACTACGTCTTCTCACATAAGTCTCTGAATAATGCCACCGGCCACTCTCTTCTCCCCATATCCTCCATTACAGCTTACATGGAAAACTGCCCTGCAATGGGCAGCTACAAGCCAATTACCCCTGCTGGCTGACCCCAGTTGGTATTGGACCAAATTAACATGCATATTCTGTCATTTTATAAACTACCTACTGCCTACACAAATTTATCTGCTTCTTGGAGAGAAGCCATTTACATTTTAGACGATGATTAGAGAGGACTTTCAGAGTTCGGAGTGCTTATGACAACAGGTTTTTCTTTTTCTTTGTACTATCCTCTACTGGCCAATATGTAGCCTTTATTCTCAATTCCATGCCTTACCAATATTCACTGTATTTGGCTTTGGTTGTGTATTACTGATTATGTTATGCTACCTTTCCATTTTCTATAAAAGCTTTATGGAAAAAAAATATAATATAAAGTATTTTTTCCCAAAAAAGTAGCATTTGCGAGCATTTGCAAAAATACAGTGGGACATAAAAAATTTAAAAACCCACCAATTTATTCTCTAGGGCCTCTGCTTTAAAAAACATTTAATGTTTTCTACCAAGAAATACTGAATTTTACATGTAAATAAAAAGTGTCAGAAATAGCTTGGAGCAAGTTGTTAAACAAATATTCAATCTAGGGCACAGGAGGACAAAATACCACAGCAATTTAATATAAATAGATTTTGAGGAAAAGCTGTGAGTTTATTTTGCTGCTGATTTTTTCAATTATCTTGTGTGTACCTCAAAAGTTCTGAGACCAAACCGCCAAATCATCTTTAAAGTCACATTACAAATGCACATGTGAAAAGGGGAAATGAAAGACATCTGGAAAATACTCTACCAAATGGCATAGTTCTTGATGTAATGCTAATAAACCTAAGTGAGACTAAAGAAAGCAATCATAAATTTAGTCTCTACATTGCAATTTAAATTCCATGGAAGAAGTGCCTATAGTAATACCTAAAAATGCAAGCGAAACAGTAGAACTGATTTTTCTGC